ACGTTACTTTGAGAAAGGTGATTTAGAGGAGGTAATAGATTTTTGCCAGCAATTTTCCTTATCATATTCCAGACTTTTTTTTTATTTGACATGGAAGTTATTTTATTTATGTAACCTTTCCATGATTTCCTTTTAGCTTCTTTGATGTTTCCGAGTGCGTTTGCTTTATTTAGTTTGAATAGATTTAAATTATGGGTTGTAGGCTGGGTATAAAATTTTCGTAGTGCTGCTTATTATTGCCTTTTTTACAATCATGGTTTTTGATATTTATTTGATTTAATGCTTTTTATATACATCTTCTCGCAATTGCTATTAATTCTTCAAAGAAATAGTCAATAGATTTTTTGTCGTCTTTGTTAGTTTTTGACAGCATTGGTTTTTATATTCGCTCCAGTCTGTTTTATTTAGTTTCCATCGAGGGCGATTGTTTTCAATCGGTTTTGATCTCGTCAATATAATTGGATAGTGATCACAGACGCATGAATTGTCGTGTACTTGCCAACTTTAATCCATAAAAGGGTCACACACTGATAGGTCAACAGCTGAGTACATACCTGATACTGGGTGTAGATATGTATCAGATTTATCATTTAGTAAACATAAGTCATTGTTGTTAATTACATTTTCCAGGTTTTTCCCATTTTTGCCCGATTTCATTGATCCGTATGCTCTGTTAAAGTCGCCTAATAATATGAATGGTTTCGCACTGGTAGTTCTTTTTTTTTTTAGATCGGTTTCCTTTATGAGGTCATGAGGTGGTATGAGCAGATACCAACGGTCTTTTGCAGGGTCTTTTTTTGTAGTGACGGCTTGTAGAATTTTTTTTTTTTTATTTGAGAGATGTCATTTTAGATTAAGATTGATAAGCACCCAGTTGCCCTTTGGTGAGTGTGATGTATGTAGTTATATTGAAAATACTGTTTTATTTTATCATTTGGTTTTAGGAATGTTTCTTGAAGGCAAATGAGGGAGGGATTCATTATGAATAGGAGTAGTTCATTTATGTTTGCTTTTAGGCCTCGACAATTCCACTGTGTCATCTTTGGCATCACGCTTATTTATTAGGGTGGGTGTTGTTATGAGTTTTTTTTTTGTTATATATAGTGGGTGGAGTGTCCAGAATGTCTATGCTGTTAGGTCCCTTAGGGCTTTTATTTTCATGTTTTGTTCATCGCAGGTCTTTTGTTTCTGTTTGCTTGTTTGGTCTTGTTTCTTTTGGCCATGTTTGTCGGGATGAGGACTGTTCACTTATTTGAGATGAAATAAAGACTCATCTATATCCATTTCTCTTGGTTCTTCAGTGATGTAATTGGTTGTGCTATTTCTCTTATGAACCTTTTGTTTCTTTTGTGAATGTTTGGTGGGTTCGAATTCTTGAAGGATTTTGAATTTGAGATTGTGGTTTTCAGAGTTATTTGTTTTGTACTTATAGATTATTTTGTTTGAAGTTGACAGGATAGGATTTGTTTTGAATATGGGAATTCGGTTTATGCGTAGTATACTAAATTTTAGTGGTTCTATTACTTTTTTTATTAATTTGTAAATTGTAAGCCCTTGGTTTCTTATTGTGTTGTTCTTTTGTATGTCTTTTTGGTGATTTGATATTTTTGTATTATTTGCGTATGATGTTTGAAGTGAATTAGTTTCGATCTGTTTTCCTGCTTCCTATGTGTATTTTATTCTTATTATTTGCATTTCTTTTTTCCAATATTTAAAACATACTGGGTGGTTTTGTTTGTAGTTTGAAAAGGAGGGTCTTTCACAGGGTGACTCTTCATGATCAGTCCCAAATTTTCTACATACGTACGTTGATCTTGTAGATGGCCAAATTTATGGTATTTGTGACATCGAGAGGAATTATGGATGTATGGCTCTACCTTGGATATTGTGTATCCTATTTCGATTTCTTTCACTAGTGTAGATTCATTGAATGTGAAAATGTATTTATTCATATGTCATTTATTTTTATTTGTAGTCTTTTGACATCTGTTACATTTTCCTATTTTTTTTAATTTTTCATCAATTTTAATTCCTTCCAGTGAGCAAAGTGACAATTCTATACATTTTATTGTTCCCTTATTTGAGTTAAGAAATTTGTGGAGGTGGGCCTTTACTTTCATATCGTTTATTTAATTGATTTTAGTAAGCTTCCGTGTCATTTTTGCTGTTTTTTGTTTTTTTTTAAATCTTATTTTTACTTATTAATTTTTTTACTGATTTTTGTTCTATCATTGCTGATATAACCTTTTGTGGCACAAAAGGGGATACTTTCTTTGTTTCACCCTCTAATGATTCTATGACTACGAAAACTGGAAATTGCTTTTCCTGATATTTCATTGTCACTTTCCGTTTCATTGTTTTCATACTGTGTCTTGGATCGTTTATAAGATTTAGTCATATAATTTTGTTTTTGTATTCGCCGTCTGTGCTCTGCACCCGCCCGGGAGTTTCTTCACAAGGGACGCTATCAGACGGTACTTATCCCATTCGTTCTGATCTGCCAGGGCTACGCAGACGGTATAGTCGTGAAGAAAGTAAATACGATCACTCGCATTCCCTCACCTTATCTACCCAAGTATAGTATGGTCTAAGTATTCGCAGCCATTCTCTTTCATTCCAACTAGGCCTTTCCACTATGTGACTTGACTAGATTGAATTGGATTAGGCTATTCCATCCACCGGGCTATCACAGGTCGGGACCGAAGTTGCGTGTTGTAAAAACTCCTGGCCATTTTATACCAGGTCAGGAGTCACTCAGTCACCAGGAATTCCGACGTCACGGGTCGCCACCCACTTCAAAAAGGTTGCCCCATAGGGGGGGGTTAGTTTTTGAGAATCAGGTTTTGTAAATGTTTGCTTTATATATTGCGATTTTATAGGTATTTTTGAATGGACAGGTAGTTTAGACATTGCATTTCGTGTAAACAGGTAGATAATGGATGATGATTTTCGTTGGTAGTTTTCCACCAGATGGTTTGTATGGAAAAACTATATTGTTTTTCTTGAAGGTGCCAGCCTAGATATAAACGGATAGGTTGTAGGCTTATAGTATGACGTTTTCTTCATACAAGTAATTAGTTTCTAATACATCTTACTTTCTATATCCTCCTGGTAGTAGTTTAATGCCCTACCAAGGACATAGGTGAACTTGTTTTGTGAAAAAAAAACATGATTACAGTTTAGCTTAATGCCCAGGATGTGGATGCAGTTACACGTCATGTCCAGGATGTGGATACAGTTACACGTCATGTCAAGGATGTGGATACAGTTACACGTCATGTCGATGTGGATACAGTTTAACGTCATGCCCAGTGAATACTGGACAATTTCATCACAGATGAAGAAGAGACACTATTGGTCGTATGTTCAGTCCATGGTTGAAATCCCACATTTTTCCCTCTAAAACTAGTATTTTCAGCTTAAGTAGTTTACTCTAAGTTATAGTAACTAAAATCTTATGTTTACAAAGATATGGAAACAAGTGAAAAGTGATTGAAATATGAATTTTCGATACAAAATCCAGTATTTTCAGCTAGTTTAAGTAGCTTATACAAAGTCATAGTAACTAAAATCAGCATCTTTCTGTAAAACCACATTTCTGCTGGCCCAAATCACTCATTCATTCTGTGAGAAGACTGTCCAGCATTTCGAGCCATATGAGACAAGTGATATTGGATTAAATTTTCGTGCTCTTTTCTTTGTTTCTAACGAAATATTCTCGTTACTTATTACCTTACTAAGCTTTTAGCAATCTGAAATCATTATTGTCCGATAGAATTTTAGTGCATTGGGGCAACAAATCATTATTTAAAAATATTTTGTTAAATGCGACAGACAATGAATGTCTTATGCCTGATCATAAGCTGTTCTAATGTTCGAGTGTTTTTTTTTTAAATTTCGGGTGAAAATAAACATAACAACTGTCTAATATTTGGATATTTTTTATCAAGTTGGTCCTTGATCAAAGCTTTCGGCTCACATGGACCATCTTCAGAATCGTTATACGGACAGTTTAAAAAGATATTCACCATCGAAAATAATATTTTGTTATGTTGACATAGAAGATTGCTATGCGACGATAAAGGTCGCAGAATAGCAAACGCAGTTCGTTAGTTAATGATGCATTTCTATGACGTCATACCACGCAAGAGGACAAAATATTAATAACAGAACCAAATGTGTATATGTAATATAATGTGTTGTGAATATATAACCATTCTGAAGATGGTTCATGTGATCCAAAAGCTTAGATCATGGACCAACTTAATAAAAAATATCCAAATGTTGAACAATTTTTGTCGTTATTTTCATCCGAAATTAAAGCAAAGATACGAACATTAGAACGTCTCATGATCAGACATAATAAACATTCAATGTATGTTATATTTAACAACATATATATATATATATATATATATATATATATATATATATATATATATATGAGGTGCATTTCCCAGAATGTTTTTAGGAATTACTTAGGGTAGGCAGTTATAACTGTACTAGATTAGTGTAACTCTAGAATACCATTACTATACGTCTAAGTTGAACTGCCAACTTTTTCTGATTTCAAGTTGAAGAATAACGCTGTAACATCTCTTTGAACACTGCTTGTTACAGCTGACTAGTTTGTAGAATGTAAACGGGACAAGAAGACAATTTGGAAGATCACTATGCAATAATGCTTTGTCTTGACAGAGATGGGCACCAAACTCTCACTCATCTTTCTTACTATCTAGACCTTGCTTCCTGTGACTTTTGGTTGTTCCTCAAGCTAAAGTAGATCATCAGTGACAGTCGTTTTGAAGACTGTGAGGAAATGAAGGAGGCTGTGACAAGGGTCCTGGACACCTTCATTTTGGATGTTTTCCGTGAGGCCTTCATAAACTGGCTGGGGTGCTACAAGTTTGTTGAAGTCAGAGGACCCTACTTTGAAGAAGATTAAAGTTTTGTTATTATTTGAAATAATTAAATGTCTCTCCTAAATAAAGTCTCAAAACTTTTGGAATGAACCTCATAGATAGATAGATAGATAGATAGATAGATAATTTCAAAAGCCTTGTAAATTCATCGAGATACCAAGATGTAGGCAGCCTGAGATAGGTGGGAAAAACTTAACGAGACGAAGAAATGTACTTACATAGATTATACGCCGGAATGAACAGCACGTGCCTGATATGCAAACGCAGAGACTCGTAGATGCGATTTTCTCGAATTGGCGCCAACTGACGCGATTTGGGCGAGTCTACATGCTATCCGTATCTGTATCGCGAGCGGTTCGTTCTGAGGGGCTTTGAATGGAGCGGGTCGAATAAGAATTGATGGCGTTAACAAACTTGCAGCAATCCTGTTGCCGAATAGATCGACGCTGCCAGAAACTCATTATTATTTATGAGAAAATGTATGTATGAAGCCAGTAATAACTATGAAGTGTAATTGATTCTTCGCAGATATGCCGTACGGCAAGGAGAATACGCGTTGTTGGGTTTGAATTTGGATATTGGTGTCTATAACTACAATGCAATCAGGAGCCTTTTCGGAATTGCAACAATAATTTTAGAATAAACAGGTGTGTTCAGAACAGCATAAACGTACGTATCTGCTAGTAAGAAAGTAAGAATGAAAGAAAAAAAGATTTCCGAAATAGAAAGATACAAAGAAATTAAGAAAGAAACTGGAATAGTAATAAATAGCAAGAGACTGGGATAAATACATAGAAAGGAAGAGATAGATAGATAGATATAGATAGAGATAGATAGATAGAGATAGATAGATATAGATAGAGATAGATAGATAGAGATAGATAGATATAGATAGAGATAGATAGATAGAGATAGATAGATAGATAGATAGATAGATAGATAGATAGAGATAGATAGATAGAGATAGATAGATAGATAGATAGATAGAGATAGATAGATAGATAGATAGAGAGATAGATAGATAGATAGATAGATAGAGATAGATAGATAGAGATGGATAGATGAGATAGATAGATAGATGAGATAGATAGAGATATGGATGGATAGATGGATAGATGAGAGATAGAGATAGAGATAGATAGAGATAGATAGAGATAGGATAGATAGATGAGATAGAGATAGATAGATAGAGATAGATAGATGGAGATAGATAGATAGAGATAAGATAGATAGAGATAGATAGATAGAGATAGATAGATAGAGATAGATAGATAGAGATAGATAGATAGAGATAGATAGATAGAGATAGATAGATAGAATTTATCCTATGTTTGTGTTCATTTTTAGGACAGTTGTCGCATTATATCCCTCAGATTTTCATATATATATATATATATATATCAGAGGGATATAATGCGACAACGGTCCTCAAACTAACACAAAGATAGGATAAATTTCTTCTGTCTACTATGTCTCTTCCATCTATCAAAGTCTATTCTTTCTTTCTATCTATCTCTCTTCCTTATATATATCAATCTCAGTTTCTTTATATATGTGTATGTATCTATTTATTTATTTATCTCTCACTATATATATATATATATATATATATATATATAGATAGATAGATAGATAGATGAATAAATAGACACATACACATATATGAAGAAACTGAGCTTCATATATACATAGGCATATATAAAGAGAATGGGATAGATCAGCTCAATAGATAGATAGATAGATAGATAGATAGATAGATAGATAGATAGAGAAAAACAGATGGATAGAAACTGACATACACATACACACACAAACATACATATATACATAGAAAAATCTGAAGTGAATAGAGACTGAGGTAGATATTTGAAATTTATGAAAATGGACTGCCTGAAGTTCTCATGCAGATTAAACTAAGATTAGCTTAAGATCTCTGAAATCTAATAAAAACTATTTCTTCTTTTTGTTCATAATATATGTTGAGACATGGGTAAAGGGAAGGATCTAACAACTGCTGAAAACAGAAAATAAATTTAGTGAGTGAGTGACTAAATGCCCACATTGAAGATATCAAAGAATCTTTGCTGAGATCATCGAACGATGATGAAGGCTGTTGAAAATATAAGTTGAGAACTCGAAGCAAAGGAAAAGGCTTTAAATACATGAAAATTTACTTTGTAAAGTAATTTTTACGTACAAATCTTGAGTGACATTTGATAGACCTGATGGATGGACCAAAGGATGAATTTTATCCAACTCAGACGTGCCTGTGGCTAAAAGCAGACAACAAGGAAGTTGTAGTATTATGATATGAACTAGAATTTTCGACTAAACCATTATTGGACCACTCAAAATCAATGAAGCAGTTAAACTGAACAGTGCTATCTATTGCGAGTTTATGAACAAGATTTTCTTTGCATTGTACAATTCCCAGTCTCACAGTTTCAAAGTGAAGTGTGTATTTATGCACAACAATGCTACTTCTCATGTGCCTATGCTTACACGTGAATTATTTGAGCATAAAGGATTTACAGGAGAGATGATAATAGAATGAACACCACCCATTCCTGATTTGTATTCGATCGAAAATCTATGGTCAATTGTGAAGACGAAATTATATGAAGATGGCAAACAATATAACAAGAAAGCATATGTATGGGAAGCAATTAAAACTAACATGTCAGACACTGAATCTGGGAAGTAAAAACAAAATTAACAAAGTCAATGGATAATAGATTAGTGGATGTTATTGAAAAGAAGTGTCACTATATTAAAATGTAAAGGATTCATAGACTTATCATATGTGTTATTTGTTCTAATAAGGTTTTGACCAATTTTTGATGATTTTATTAGCTCTTTATTGAAGTAAAATGTGATCATTTAGTTTTGCCTAAATTCAGAGGCAGTTTTTTAGAATGCATCAAATAACTTCAATAAATCGAATACGACCTAAAATTTTAATTCAGGCTTTGTTTTGACAACTCAATTGATTGTTTAAGATGTGACAATTTTTTCTAACCAAATTTGAATTCTAGTTTATATGATTTGCTTAATAACTTCAGACATGCTGTAGATTTAGCTAGCTAGATAGATAGATACGGAGAACGATATATAGTTAGATACATCGATACATAGATAGAGACCGAGACTGGAAGATAAAAAGATACTGAGATAGAAAGAAAAAATTGAGGTAGATAGAACGAAAGATAGATAGAACGATAGATAGATTTTATTATTTTTTTTTATTTTTTAGCGGCATATCAACTTCTTATGGGTCATTTAATGTCGAAATTTAATTAGTAATTTCTTATATGTATTACAGATTTTTTTTTTTTAAATAGGGCATGTTGGTAATATTTTTTCCTTAGACAAATTTATTTCTGGTAATATTTTTTTTTGTTTTTGTATTCTTGATCTCTAATAAGAAGGTGTGCCAAAGAAGTATCAGCAGTGTGTTCCCTATAACTCTTTCTCCAAATATGCGATAATGAAGCCGAAGATAATGATGGAATAATAAACACTATTTATTCGAGGCTTAAATTAAAACGTATACCTAGTTGAAGCTACTTGATAATATTGAAATTTACAAAACTAAATGATACCAGTATATTGATTGTTTTTTACGGCTTACCAACCCTTTGTGTATTATTTAAAGCTGAAATATATTTGCAGTTATAAGGATAATTCTTTATTTTTTGCGAGTGATTATTCTATTAACAGTTTTTTGAGAATTACAATGATTGTTCCAGATAGAAATTCTAAGATTTAACCCATCGCAGGTGAAAGAAATGCATTCATATCTTTCACAGGTGTATTTCCGTGTAAATGAATGCAAACAGAATATTTCTTAAATTTAATAATTATTTTTTTTATTAATTCTAAAGTCTGTACTAACATACTTCATAGAATATACCAACTTAGTCCACTGTAGGTTATTTTTAAATATCAAGGGTTAATTTTGTTAACTTTTCCAGTAATCAGTTGAACCCTTTAAAGAAAGCTTTTGGCGAATTTGTAGCAAGCTGATTTATATTCGAAAAGAATTTTGCGCAGGACTTTTAAATATATCCATATTGTAAAAATAAGCTCTTTCTTCTATTGCAGTACGATGAGTAGCGCATTACACTGGAACCAAGAAATCCCTTGGGAACATTAAATTCGGGGTAATCGAAAACACAAGGGATATTGAGCAAGGTATACTCGGTTTTGGTTTTGTGTTATCGGAGATGCTGTAGGCCGGGGATCTGTCTGTAAAAGAATGATTCTCAAGCGAATTGTAACTGAAAGGGATAGAGAAAAGTAAAGCCCGGACGTATGTGGTTAAATTGAGGTGTCTTGGGTATGTTTCTAAAATTCCTTCTTAAAATACCACGTTTTTCTCTGATATAACATTCCGAAACAAAAATTATCATCTGGTTTTGGAAAAAAAGAATGATGGCAAATAAACCGAATCCACCATAAAATTTTAGGATGTCGAATTAGTGAAAACTAAATCTTTCATATAACTTGGAATATGGATCCACATATAAGAGATGAGAAAATTGATCATAGACTGAGATGCACTCGGGGTAGTTTTGTTCAAATTGGCAAGATACAAAACCAACATTTTAATCCAAGAAAACAAGTCATGTTCTTAAATAGCCTTGTCAGATTTTTATTGTCATATGGATACCATGCCTTGCACCGAACCTATTCAGAGATGTTTAACTTGTCAAACGTATACAACCGCTTCCCTAGTTCAATGATTAAAATGGTGTGAATGAAGCATATGGGTCTTAGAGAGAACCATACTTCTTCGAATATTGTGGTCGGCGGCATATAATCAAAAATAAATAACTTTACCAAATAACAGGAATCACATAACTTTTGGATTTTACCAAATAACAGAAGCTGTATCGCTTGAGGAGTTTACCAAATAGCAGAAACCACGTCATTTAAGGACATTACCGAATATCAAAAAGCACGTCATTTGAGGACTTTACCAAATAGCATAAACCTCATTACTTGTGGAGTTAATAACACAGCAGAGACAACGTTGTTTGAGGGCTTTTAAAAATCTGGAACAGCATTATTTGAGAACATTACCAAATAGCAGAAACCATGTCATTTGAGGACTTTATCAAATAGCAGAAACAACTTCAGTATCTTACCAAATTGCAGAAACCACATCACTTGAGTTTCTTACCAAATTGCAGAAACCAAGTCACTTGAGAAATTCATCAAATTGCAGAAAACACATCATTTGATGACTTTACTTTCAACAGCAACATCAAAATAAAATGAATATCACGTGTAACTCAGAGAAAATAATGACATAATCAAGATAATAACGTTTAGCATTATTTGAAACATAAGGCAAGGAAGGAAGTCCCCATCATTACTGAAAAGAAAGATAATACTTATTGGGCCTGAGATTCGCATTTTCCTGAAAAAAGATTTTAATGGAAAAACTTTATAAATTTCCACCAACAGTACCACTGGATATACGGTCAATGAATTTCTTTATTCATGTGGGTCTAAATTTTGTCATCATAGCTTGTCAAACTAGTACGTTGACGCTCAGCTGTACTTGAAGGCGAACAACTGACTTGATGGCCAACCATTGAAAACTGATAAAAAGCAGCGCCATTTTCTTTTTCAGATGGAAATCTGATTCCTAAAAGATGCTACAGAGAAACTGTATTAGATGAGGAAATCTGATTTGTAAGCTTCAGAAAGATACACGACAAAAATAATTAGTTTTTTTTTTTTAATCCTAGACGCACAGACAAAAAAAAAATCAAGTGCGTGTAGACTAATACAAATTTAATTTGATCCGTTGCATGAAACTTACAAAGTCTGGTGTTGTTTGTTTTCGGGGTTTTTTTTGTTTTTGTTTTTGTTTATCATTCAACCTTCTATATTTTGTATTAGTTTGTATTTTTAGTCGGAGAATTTTAGCGATTAAATAAAAAGAAAAAAATGGATATATTCATTGCTTTTTAAAAATTATATTTGAAATTCAACTTGCTTATATTTCTGTATCAAAAAAGGCATGTGGTTTTTAAATTGCTGTGGAAAATTTTTTTCGAAAAAGTTCGTCAGTAAAAAGTATAATGAATTAGAATTCAGCAATATAATTTTATATTTAAAACAAAGAATGCACATTATTCTATGCATTGAAATTTCTGGGAGATGTAATTAAAAAAATAAAATATTGATATGAAAAAATATTGAAATTCTTGGGAAAATAAATCTTCTATTTCTGGAATGAGGAAATAAGGTTCAGAAAATTAAGCATTCACAGAACACTGAAAACAAGAGTGTTATTGGGATGGATTGGTTTGTTTTGTTTTGTAGTATATCAACCTCATGGGTTATTTAATGCCGGCAAGTTTGTAATATTGATGGTAGTATTTTTGTTCCAAAATGTATTACTGGTTATGTTTAAAAAAAAAAAAAAAAAAAAAAAACATGTATTGCTGGTAATATTTTGTTTGCTGGTAATAATGTATTGCTGGTAATAAAAATACTGCTGGTATTAAAAACCTATTTTTACAATTTCATAATGTATTGGCCCATATATTGAGCCCTAACACGTGCTACCACCCTGAGTCAGGTTGGAGCTGAGAACACCAGCAATTAAGAGGTGGTTCCGTGCTACTCAAAACCGCCTGATCAGAGGTCTTATTGTCGGATGTAATTTATTGTTTTACCCAAGATGCGGATGTAGTTTATCGTCTTCCCCGGGCGTATTTTGTTAGAGATGTTGCTTATCTGCTTACTAGCTATGTCAGCAAAACTATATCGAATCCAAGCGACATACTACTTCTTGTGCTATCTTCATTCAAGGCAATGAAGACATAAGAAAAGCGACGAGAATTCGAATTCACTCGGAAAAAAAAAAAAAAAATTTCCTCTCGCTTAGCATAAATAGCTGTCGGAATTCAAAATTCACAGAAAAAGATTTTCGGTAGAGTTTGTGTAAATTCATAGCACGACGCGAAAGTCAATAAACTTCAAGGCTGTGTGAGATATGGCTCTTAAGAAAAAAACGAAAACTTTCTGTTCTTAGTTAATGACTACTGTACGAACAAAATACACTATGAAAGAACTGAAGATATTTATTCAGCAGCTATTACAAAAATGCAACAGGAGCGGATTGAATATCAAGAACAGATAAAAGCAATCTTGGAAAAACAAAGAACAGACAATGTGTCAATTTCGCTTTCACTGGACTCAGTCGCTCAGGGAATTTCATTGGCTAACCCCCCACGAAGAAAAATTATATTCCTATTGTACTTAAGAAGGTACGAGTCTATTTTCACAGAAGAATGTCAAGAATGGTCGATGAAAAGAAGGTACGTCTTTTGTTAGGAAACATGAAAAATATCTGATTTTCCTTTTGCTGATTGCTCCAGAAAAAAGTCTCATTTGACGAAATAGTGTCAATAAAATTATTTACTGTTTTATACACGTTGCCAGTGTATGAAACTTACTAATGACGAAAATGTCACATATGCTGGTAAGGTCAACCATGAGTGTGAGAAATTTCAACTGGATAAATTAACCCAATCAGATTTAAATGTCTAATCTTCATTAAAGGTTTAACATGAAGCAACGATACAGAAATACGCTTCAATAGGATTCAAAGTTAACGATACAGACTATGGCGGGAAATGCCACAAACTTGTTAGTTTAAGGCACAATATAACAAAAATCGAGCAAAATGAATAAAAATACTACCAAATTTAACCCATGCTATGACTGTAGTATGCTTCATTTCAGAGAGAATGACCATTTTAAACGAAAAAATGTTTTAACAGTTGAAAAAAGAGGACACAAACGAAGCTACTGCAAGTCGAAAATAAAAATGCACGAATTAACTTGCTGAAAGTTGTTCTAGTAGCTAAAAAACTGGAAAGTTCAAATAACAGAAAATTCGTGAGTTTACAAATGAATAAATCTACGGTGAGATTTCTATTGGACAATAGTGATATTGCATTTGTTGATGAACAAACTTGGAAAAGGCAAGCCTAACTTGAGAAAAACAGACAAAGTTGCAAGAGGAATATCGGGCAAGAAATTATTTTTTCTTAGGAAATCACATGTAACATCGCTCTTGCTTGTAAACTAAAAAAGCAGATGTTTATGTATTAAAAAATTCCAACTCGAATGGACTGTTCTAGTTCCACGTGCCATGTTTGATGGATGTCAGTTATCAGTTATCTCCTGCTAATTTTCCCTCTGAAAGTTCTCCACCGCCTTAACAGTCTACCCCAGTGATCGAAATAAAGGGTTCAGTTCGAAATTCCAACCACCTGAAGAAGGCCGGAGCGTACAACGGCCGAAACGTTGTGACAAATATGGCGACAAAGATGAGGACAATAGTCCGACTAATGTAAATACTGTACATAATATCTCATCTCTTCAGAAGATATATTTGCCAAATTAAATGGTGGTAAGTTTTTCAAAAATTGACTTGTCTGAGGCATATCTGCAAATCGATGAGGTATGCCAGAAGTTTTTGACTATTAATACGCATAAAGGACTCTATAAGTTTAAAAGATTACCTTTTGATGTAAATGAAGCCCCACGTATTTTCCAACAAATAATGGATATGATATTGGCTGGACTAGAAGGTAACGTTGCTTATATAGATGATATATTTATTAAGATTGCGACGTAAATATATTGCTGCCATATATGGTCTGAAACCCCTTCTGTTTGCCTCGGGGTTCTTGATAAGCTCCAGAGGCGGATATGCAATATAATTGGCCCTGTTCTGGCATCTCGTCTACAGTCGCTCTCTCAAAGACGTGCCGTCGCCTCTCTCTGTCTTTTTTACAAATACTTTCATGGAAATTGCTCCGAGGAGCTGCATTCGCTGGTTCCCAGACTTCATGAATTCAAGCGCCCTACAAGGCTGGCATCCCGCTCTCACCCTTTCACTGTCGAAACTACTAAATGTAGCCGTCTCTTCTACTCCAATAGCTTCATGTCTCGCACCTCTCGCCTGTGTAACTCCCTTCCCTATTCCAGTTTCCCTGAGAGCTATAAAAACTATTCAAATGTAATGTCAATCGACATCTCCAGTTGCCTTGATCTATCCACTACCCTTCTCCTCATACCCTCTTCTATCACTCCTATCTGATCTCGCTCTATATTTTCTGTAACCCCTTGCGTCCTAGTGGCTTCCCGCCTTGCTTGGGGTGAAAAGCTTAAAAAAAAAAATACAGCACGTAAAACTGATTCAGGGAGTATGTCAGAGACTACATGATTACGGTTTCAAAATCAGTGAACAGAAATGTCAATTCTTTCTTGACAAAATTAAATATTCAGGTTAGATAATCCGCAAAAAAGGAAAAAGACCAGATGCCGTTCAAGCAAGAGACATTAAAGACATGCCTCCTTCTCCAAGAAATTTGGTAACAACCACAATCATTTCTCGGATTAGTGAATTATTTTATTTATATGCCAGAGATGCACAAATTACGAGCACCCCTGAATAATTTACTTAAAAAGGGTACGAAATGGAATTGGTCAGCGGAATGTCAATAAGCTTTCGAAGTATGAACATATCTCTCCAGTATAGGAGTTGGACTCGTCCAAGTAAATATAGACTGAAGCCGAGAATCATCAGTAGAAGGAGTAAACAAGTAGAGAGTTAGCTTATCTGCTTACTACCTATTTCAGCAGGACTACGTCGATTCCAAGCTACATACTGCTTCATAATTGTGTTATCTTCATTCAAGGAAATAAAGACATAAATTTATGTATGAATGTGTGTGTATGCTTTAACACTCTAGTTATTTTGGTGGATAAATGTGTTTGAGTAAACGGCCAGTTTATCTATTTATTATAAACAGTGTGCATTACGACTACCAGCCTGATACTTAAAACGTTATTTTTTAATGGATACCCATATTTGAGTAGACGCCCCGTTTAATTTTTAAATATTATTTCTACCTTCGTCTACTGGCCTGAATATTCGAGCCTATTTTTCTCTAATGAGATTTCTGGAATATTCAAGCAGGTAAACGGAAATTAAAAAAAAAACTCTTTAACAATTAAACTGGGTGTGTACTCATATATGGGTGTCCACTAAAAATAATGTTAAAATGATATAATTCGCAATCACGTTTCCTTAACTCATTAGAGTCATTACAGAACTACATGTTCGTGGGAAAATTACCTGATGGGGCCTATACATCTTCTGTCTGCTTTTGAATTCAGTTTTGTACTTCTAGATTGATTGCCTTGCCAAGGCAAAACACTTCGGTCTGTGCTATTATATGGGGTTTGAAGTCAGCGTTTTCTTATTGCCTTCAAAAGGTTTAAAGTTTGTATTTCATTTTTGAGATGGGGATGTGTCAATAAACTCTAATTTATTCGAACTATTGTTCACATCTTGAATATTATAGATGCTATTATAGACATTTGCTTATTGTGTTAGATGATGAACAGATATTCCATGTCAGTCAAACAGCGGACATCGGAAGATGGCCAAAGGGTACTTGACAGAAACGTCGACTATATTAACATGTATAATAATCAAGATCAGAACAATAGGCAAAATTTTGTTTTTGAAACTATTTTTTAAGTTTAATTTGCCACCGAAATATTGTCCGCCTTTCTTATTAGGCTATC